TTTTTTAAAGAAAAAAAGGCTATCCTTAAATGGACTGGCCAATGCCAACATCCTAAAGGATAGCCAACACAGGTAGGTCTTACTTGTGCAATCTCATTTCCTTCTATGACCAGGTGACCCATCACAAGGGAGGAGAGATTGAGGTCATATCTTGACTTCAAAAAAGTCCTCCAATCTGGTATCCCATGATCACCTCTTGGCAAAACTGGCCAATTGTGGCCCTGGGTCCACCACAGTCCACTGGCTGGGAAGTTGGCTCCATGGTTGGACCCAGAGGGTAGTAATTGATAGAAGTCAATCATGGTACCCTGTGACTAGTGGGGTACTCCAAGACTGTCCTTGGACCCATATTGTTCAACATCTTCATTAGTGATGTGGACATTGGAGTCAGGAGCAGACTGGCCAAGTTTGCCAATGACACCAAACTTTGGAGCAAAGCATCCACAGCAGAAGACAGGCAGGTGATCCAGGCTGACCTGCGACAGGCTCAGCAAATGGGCAGATGAGAACCTGATGGTGTCTACATTGAAAGATGCAAGGTTCTCCACCTTGGTAAGAAAAGACTGCAGAATCCTTATAGGCTTGACAGTGCTATGCTGGCTAGCACTATGGAAGAAAGACTTGGGGGTCATCATTGACCACAAGATGAACATGAGCCTGCAATGCAATGCTGCAGCTAGTAAAGCAGCCAAAATGCTGGCTTGCATCCATAGATGCTTCTCAAGCAAAGCTCAGGACATTGTTCTCCCCTTGTACTCGGCCTTGGTGAGGCTGCAGCTGGAGTACTGCATCCAGTTTTGGGACCCACAATTCAGAGAGAGTGTGGAGAAGCTTGAGAGTCCAGAGAGGAGCCACGCACATGATCAGAGATCAGGAAAACAGAGCCATGGGGTCTTTGGCCTGGAAGCACAGGCTCAGGGGTGATGGCCACCTACAAGTTTAAAATCAGGGGTGACCACCAGGATCTGGGGGAATGTTGTTTATTCACTAGAGCACCCCAAGGGATGACAAGGTTGAACAGTCATAAACTACTACAAGACCATTTTAGGCTGGACATCAGGAAGAATCTCTTTACTGTTAGAGCCCCCAAGGTCTGGAACAGCCTGCCAGAGGTGCTTCAAGCACCTGCATTGAACACCTTCAAAAGCAACTTGGATACTTATCTTGCTGGGATCCTATGACCTCAGCCGACTTCCTGCCCTTCAGGTGGGGGGGCTGGATTTCCATGATCTTCTGAGGTCCCTTCTAGCCCTAATGTCTATGAAGTCATTTGAGTGCTTGATGCAACCCCAGGATTGCTTTTTTGCTTGACAGTGGGGAGTTACCATAGTGCTTGGTTTAGCGTGGACTAGACAGGCTCCATTCCACTTGGAGTAAGCATGCCTTCTGGCCAAGGACAGAGGCTCCATCAGCTTGTTTGTTTTATATCCCCAAAGGGCAATTCTAGGAAAAAGGTGAACATAGTGCTACTTAAGGCCCATATGTTCTTGCTTTCTGCCTGGAATGCCACCACTTCATTCCCATTACCAGAAGTAGACTCTCCATCATCTAAACGTCAAGTGGTATGCAGCCTTGCCATGGCAAGAAATTCAGCCCATCATCACAATCTCCTCTGCCACTACCAACACTCCATCACCCCCCATAAAAGTCAATTGTATGATACACCTGGTCCAATGCAATGAGGGTGTCTGCCTATTGCCTTAAGCGCCCAACTGAAAAAGTAGGACCAGGATGTACACACCATTCTGGTCTGACCTCACTACCCTTGTGCTCAAGAGTCATCTACCCAGACTCTAGAAGGTGAATTTAGAAACAAAGTATAAAAGCTGGCTGGATACTGAGAACTAAAAGGACTGAACACCTATATTGGTCAAGTTATAAGTCAACTCCAAAAATACTTTTCATATAGGGAAGTATAAACTGCTGCCCCCCCACCCCCTTTGGCTAGGGCTTGATCTCCAAGTATTCAGCTTTTCTTCTTTTGCTAGTGTCTGGTGTACCCAAGAACTGTGTGGGAATACAGCCTAGAGCAGCTAGCTTGCTGTGCTTAAAGATCCCCCAAAAAACAGAGGCCCAAGGGGGATTTTTCTTGGTATGTGAGAAAGTATTTAAAAATCTCAGCTACATAGCTGGTCCAATTAAAAAAAAAATCAAGTCCCCCCTGCCTTTTATTCCCATGAGTATTAAAAAGGAGTGAGACTTGCAATCCAACTGCCTTTTAACTGTCTGCTTTAGGAAAGGCACCACCACTTACTGCTAACAGTTCAGAACATGAGAAACATGCACATCTCCAAAAAAACACTGTTCCTCTCAAGCCCCCATAAAACAATAATGTAACTGGACTTTGTTAGTATGGACCAATAGGTCATGTATTGCTGCTGAGCTATTTCAAGGTTTAGTTTGGGCTTCAAGGGGTTGTGAAGGAGTTTGATTTCTTTAGACAAAGTACAGCACTAAACAGATTCCAGTAGCTATAGGGCAAGAGCCTGTCCAGCTGGGAGTTGGAGCCTTAGCTTCCATTTCAAGGGAGCATGAGGTTGTTAGAGCCCTTTGGTATTGAACCAAGAATAGAAAGAGACAGCTGCCACCCTTCAGCCACTACCACCAAGTGTAGGCTTGCAGTCCCCATGCAGGCAGCATTAAAGCCTGCTGGAATTGAGTAAAATATAGCAGATGTTACAAGACAAGGCTCCCTTCCCCACCCCAATTTATATCATGGGGGCAAGGGAAGAGCCTTTCAGTAGCATTAGGGTGGTGGGGAAGCAGGTGGCTGCTGTGGCTTGGGCTCTATCTCCTACTCAGCTGTAGCCACAGCTTCCCCCTCCCCTACAGCCTCTGCTTCCCACCCATCCCTCTCCCTCCTCTACTTACTTTTGCTCCATCAACCTGGGGCACTTTAACCCCAGTTCCATCTCCAGGCTAAGGTAAGATGGCAGTAGGGGGCAGGTTTGACCTCCCTATATTCCCCCACCACCACTGGGGTGATGGGTAAGAGATAGACCCCACAATAAAAAGTTAGATTTTATACATGGATAGTTAAAAGCAAAAAAAAATTATGGTTTCCCCATGCACAGAATCCAAATGGGGGAGGGGAAGAAAAAGAGTCAGGGTTGCCATATTTACTTGAGATCCAAGACAATTGCATTCTAGGCTTTTAACAAATCATAAGGCAAGGCTAGTCTCCAAAAAGTGTTACCCAAACTGGTATCATTGACTATGGATGTCACTGATGATTAATTCATTGCTATACAAAAAGGACCAAAAAATGTACTTTATAAGTAAGGCTTTAAAAAAAGCTATTACCATTCCTTCCCAGCAGTACCATTCTGGAAGGGGGGTAGGGACCAAACAAACAAAAAAAACCACAAACACACCACTATACATGCAGATTAGCTGTTATTTAATTTCATTAAGACTTTAATTTCAAGGTTGAACTCATTCCATCTTCAGGGGAGTTACCAGCTCCTGCAATGAAACAGGAAGTTAGATTTGATCAAGTCTTACTTCACAGGCCAATTGAAGGAGTGCTCTGAACCTTACATATTCCCCATTAAGGAATCTTGGAGGATGATTTTTAGGGGCTCAAGCAGCTTGCTAGTATTAGTGTTCAGGACTCTGGTCCCAAACTTGCCTAGGTTGGATGGCCTTAATGGAGTTGACTGCATTGCAGCTCTTTAATGAGGCTTTAATTTCCTGTCCCATCAGCAGCTTGAGGGCTTCTTGGTGGCTTTTAAAGCCAGGATAAGATTGACCACTTTGCTCTAGTGCTGGTAGAAGCAATGCAGTGTCTGAGGAAGGAGCATGTCTGCTCTGCTCAAGGCTTCTGGGTTGCCTGCCTGCCCTGCAGACAGGGTTTAGGGGTAGGATGGACTCCTCACCTGTTTTCCATCATAGGCTTTATTAACAAATGTTGAGACATTTGTGGCAATGTCGTCTTCCTCTGGGTCACTCTCCCTGTGATAGGAGGTCAGAGCCCTATAGGAGGCTGTGCTGGAGGTCCTGCATTAGAGTAAAAAATGTTCCTGAAGCCATATTGCACTTAAGCACTTGTAGATCTTATTTAAAGAAGGGGAAAGTTGCTGAAAGATTCTCTTACTGTTGGGACTATGGGCTAAAGTCCATTGCATTCAAAGTGAGCCAAATTGCTAGGCTGATTTCTAAGGGGAAGTAGTATGTACTCCCAAACAGTACTAGTATCCAATACACTATTAAGTTCAGACAGGCTACAACAACCCTGTCAAAGCTTCCATTGCAGTAAGAAGAGCTATCAAAACCTCTGGTAGGTTGTTTGGATACCTTCTAAAAGCATTGGTGTCAGACACATTAGTACTACCATTTAAAGTAGTGACACAAAAGTTTGTGACCCCTCCACCTTCCCCAAAAGGTGAGCCAGGTTCAACTGTGGCAAGCAGCTGCACTCCTAGGAGGGTCTATACAACTGTTTGAGGGAATTGTCACTTTGACCTCCTCAAGGAGCTGTAATATCATGGAGTCAGTCAGTCAAACCTTCTTTCTACAAGACTCAAAGCTTACAAGGGTAAGATTTTAAAAAGTATGCATCATGTATGGATTAGTCAAGTAAATACAGCCTCAGGCAGAGTCTTGTTGATTCATGAGCTGTGCTCTCAACCTTTGCGCCTCATCCCCAGCTGGTGTGTCTACATGGGTTTTAGTCAGGAGATCCTTACCTTCTCAAGGTACTTTGCCTTCTCATGTAGAAGAAAGCTCCCACTATTGCCATGAGGACAAGCAGTACTACAAGAATGCTCAGGATAATGGGACCAGCTGCAGGTTTGACTGCTGGCTCTTCACAGTGGTCACCACTATATCCCAACATGCAGTGGCACTTCACCATGCCATCTTCAATGGTGCAGTCTCCTCTCATATTACATGTTTCACTACTGCAAGGTTGAGAACCAAGGACCCTTTCAATGCTAAGAGATGGAGAAGGCTCTATATGCGGAGTAATCCTATCCTCCCTATATAGGGGAGGAGTCTGTACAGTTGAAGGCTTCCTTCTAGCATATTTTGTCACCTCTGGGTGCAGATATTTGGTTCTAGTGGTGGGTCTCTTGGTGGTGGTTAGGACACGTTTTGGTATTTCTTCCTTCTTGCCTGGCCTCTTTGGTAATGGTACTGTTGTGCTGGGTTTCTTCCTATCTTGATAGGTGCCTAGGAGGAGATGGTTAGTTTTAAACTTGATATTCAACATTTTATATTGTTGGCTAAACCTGAAGATCATTTTACTGGTCTCCAAGTGTTATTTGGAGCCTCCCCAATTATATTGGGATAGGCAAGCCTATGCGCATCAGGAATAGCTTTTCATATTTACTGTGCGCTGATGGGTTTGTCAAGCCCTTGTCTTCTCAGCTATTGAGAGCCACTGACACTAGAAGAATCTTTTGCTAGTTTGAAATTGAGAGACTTCCAGGAGGTTCATGGGATGTTACATCCTTGATCAAGGAGTCAAGTGGATTTGTGGGCCATAGTTGATAGCTTAAGCAGCAATAAAAAGGGCTTTATGTACTCAATATAGTCAGTTTTCCATAGTGAACTTCCAAAGATCTGTTGCAGGCTAAATGGACTTGTCTGCTCATTAATGGGAAAAGCTGGCAGTACTTTCATCTTACCCACCACCCCATGAGCATGTGCTGTTGGGTTTACAGCTCAGATTGGAGCAATAGCATGGAACCCCAGCCTGCTAGCTTAAGCTGAAGGAGTTACTTACAGTCACTTTCATCAGAGCCATCCAAGCAGTCGAAGTAGCCATTACATGCTTGCTCCTTGGTAAAGCATTTCTTGAAATCTCTGCAAGCCTTAAGTGGCTCAGGACATGTCACAGTTGCAATGCATTCAGTCCCATGCTCTAGATTATAGCCAGTGGAGCATTTACAGACCCTCCCTTGTGGTGTTGCCAAGCAGATCTGGCTGCATCCACCATTGTTCTCTGAACAGCCATTTGTACCTAACAATTAGGCAGAACAGTTATAAGTTGTTTTGACACTAAAGTTATGGTCCATTTGAGACCTAGAAAGTGAAACCCTGGTGGCATGAATGTCCTTCCATTCCCCTTCCCCCCCAGCTTAAGATAGCTAGAACCCCAGTAGGTGAGCTTAAAGTAAAGTGTATTGTTCTTCTGTAAAGAAGAGCTTTATACTCTCCCTGAAGTATTCTAGTCCAGATCTATCCTTTTAGAAAAACAGTTAGGACTTGCCTTGCTGTGTGAACTTGCTGTATATCTTTATGTCCATGATCTTCCCATCCACTTGAAACCACCAGTTCTCTGTTGTTTCTAGCTTGCTGTGCCATACTCTTGTATCTGGCAGACAGAATATAAAGGAGTTTAGAAAGGAAGACAGATCCTCCCCTTGCAGAAGGGGCAGTCCAACTTGGAACAAAAGCCATAAGTTGGCAGTGCACAAATCTACCTTCTCCCTGCTTCCTTCCTAAGCACAAGTTGTACATTTGCTTAGAAAGTGAGCCAACTGTTCTTGGCACCCCAACATGGCTCTTGAGTTGTTGCTAGACAGTGCACACCCCTCCACCTTGACACCAATTATCTGCCTTACTGAGCATCTTACCATTGTTAGTGGAGGTTGTCCAGACCATCATGCCTTCACCAATTGTGAAGAGCAAGAGGCCATGCAGCCCTCCCCGCACTACTCTGTATTTTGAGCCATCCAACTGAATGCTTTCAACAACACCTTTCACTGCAAGAAGAAAGAGTTGTTAGCTTTTTGGTGATGCATGAAATGCAAACAGGTGCTGAAGTTTAGTGGCAAATATACATGTTAACTAGCAGTTCAAGGCTCTTTTCTTTGTGATATTTTAAAGGCAACCTGCACCCTACCTCCAGGAAGGAGGAAACCAAACCTTGGCTTGATCCCATATCCCAGAGGGCTAGACTCAAAATAAACAAAAAAGTTTCATTCAGACAGAAGATACTCTTCCTCTGCTGATGGGCAGATACCAGTCCTCACATCTGGAATCTAACATTCAGTTAGAGGAATGAGTTAAAAAAAAAGTTACTTTGCCAGCACTTTCTAGATCACAGATCTTACCACAGAGCCAAGCCTGTCATACTTACTACGGTCAGCCCAGTAGAGCCGAGTGCCCACATCTGCAAAAGTCAAGCCAACAGGAATTTGGGATCTCCTCCAGAGCACCATCCTTTTGCTACCATCCATAGCAGAGCACTCTATCTTTGGGGTAGCCCTACGAGTCTCAGAGCCTAGGTCAATAAAGCACATCATTCCAGTTGGTGGGTGCAGTGCAATTGCAACTGCTTTATGGATCTCTTTGTCAATCAGTGTCAGATGATAACGCCCATTTGAAGTTACTACTTGAATGTATGGGTTCTGGCTGCTGACCCAGTATATATTGCCACTCAACCAGTCAAGAGCAAGAGATATTACAGTGCCTTCCACTGGCACTACTTTTTTCCAGTAGAGTTTGCCAGAATCCTTGATTTTTAACAGCCTTATGTGGCCACCTCCCAGCTCTGCAAAGTAGAGTGACTGGTCTTTCACAGCATAGTCCATTGCTGTCAGATGCTCTAGGTTGACAAGAGGTAGAATACTATGTTCAGGAAGAGTTGTCCCTCCTATTGTAGCTGGCAGCTTTTTCAGGTATACCTAGAATACAGAGTAAAGGCAAAATATTTTTTCAATGCTTGCAGTTCAAAGTCTATTGCAGGCTTCCAAGACCCAGGGATATCTAATCTGCCTACTCCAAGTTGTATGGTGACCCAGGAATTGTCAAAGCAGTTAGGTCCAGAAATAGCAAGTGGAAGCCAAAAATCTTAAAGACTGGTGCTACAAAGATCCAAGTGCTAGAGAAAATAAAATTTGCCATCTCCCCATTATGCTGTACTTCAGCATTTGGCACTTTTGTATGAAAGGACTGTAGTGTTTGCTTGCCTAGAGGCAGTATTAAAAAAAGGCAGCTTGGTCATTGTTTTTCAGGCTACAGTATATTTCCTGGCTCATGCCAAAGGCTACAAGAGTAGTTGTCATTTATTAGAGTTTTGGATTCAGACTGAAAGAGACCTAGGCATGGCATGATCAAGTAAGTCTCCCTGCACTCAGCTTAATTTTTAGCAGAAGGTTACCTGAGTAATAGCTGTTGAAGCTACTAGGAACAAGAATGCAGAATCCTTAACAGGAATGCAGTTTTTTCCATCAGCAAGCACTAGTTCAACTGGGCACCGACAACTTCCTTTGTGTTTTGGATTCAATAGACACAAGTGGGAGCAGCCAAGTTCTCTACAAGGGTTTGGTGCAGTTGGTTGCAACACTTCATGCATTACCTAGAATGGTTAAATAGCCATAACATTGTATTTGAAAAACAAGATAAAAAAATATGCAAATATGAATACATAGATGTATGCCCCATTTCTGTATTCTTTAATGTATTATCCTTCTTATATTAACAGTAGAAAAGGCAAGGGGTCCTGCCTTTTAAACCTTTGGAAACATCAGTAACTGGAGATTGGTTATTTGTAACTGTCCTTGGAATTCACATCC